TTGCTTTCTGAGCCTTCCCTTCGCAAGTTTTTGATTTTTTTCACTTCGTTTTTTCGCCATTTTCACACTGTATAGGGCCCTGCTAGCATTTCAGGCCGAGTACCAAATTATCGTGCCAACTGCCTTTAACGTGGCGCTAGTTCGTTTTCCAACAGCTGTTGAAGCGGGCAGGCATTCTACACTGTATCCTTGTCCCCACAAACTGTTGTAGCTTGCCTGCTTCAAAATGTGGTGGAAACGAGCTGGTACCACGCCACACCTAGCCCCTGACAAGCAACCGCATCTGTTGCGAACAAGATTGTGGCAAGGGGCCAAGGAATTGCAATTTTGGGTGGTTCACATCCGCTCACGGTGAAATACATCTGCTTCAAGTGCTGCAACATGGTCTCGCTTGTCCGCGTGCTTCACAATAAAGCTATCAAGACTGGGCTTCCTTCCTGAATTCCAGTTTGCTGCAAGCAGACAGTATCACAGGAAAACCGCAAGGCAAAGCATATACAGAAAAATGCAGCCGGAGTAACGCCCATAAAATTCAAATGGTTTGGGAGCGAGACTTGATTGGAAAGGCTAGAGCTCAACTTCAGGTGTGGGGAAACTATGCAGACTTATGTATTGTAGTATTCACCGTTTGATGGTACATTGATGAAGCCATATTCGAAGAAGTGCACAAGTAATATTAACTTACATAAGAATACTCTTCTCCTTCACAGTCTGTGGTGCAAAAGAACGGGGCTTCTTTCATTCTGGAGACAAGAAGCTGGCTAAAGTTTCTGTAGTCGTCAGTGAGACCACCGCTACCCATATGCTGAAATGAGATTTGAGTTGCAACCCGGTTAAATCATAATCCACACGGCTCCAGATGGCTCCTTTTGAGGTAGAGAGGTGCTGAAAGTCGACCCTCTCTCTCCTCCTCCTCCTCGATGTACTTCGACGAATGCACGTCCTTGTTATGTTAAATTATTGCAAACTTGCCGATGATGGTGAAAGACCTACATCTGAGACGACCAACGTTTTACCGAATGCTGTCTTAGCTTCCTCGTCTCTCCCATCGTTCGGAGAGTTAACATCTGTCCATACTGACAGCTCCTTCCCACCGGCTAAGGGTGAAGCTGAAATTTTGTGGAGATATGAGTATGATGTTTCTGGTCACCATGGGTGTGCTTAGTCATTGTTTGGTGTTAACTGAAAAAATAGGGATAAACACGATTTGGAGAGGGCAAGTGACGTCGGGACTACGTCACGTCACATCTGTTGCTCTGTGCCTTCTGATCATGATGGTTCAGTGTAAGGTTCGACGTTCGACGACTCGGTTGCCTAGCGTACGATATATACTCGAAATCCCTGAGATCGGGTAGGCGTGGCTGCATGCTTCAACTTAACCTGAAGGTGTCTATGCTTCTGGTGAGATATTTTCATCTTGACACAATTGTTGTCGTGTCTCTGTCAGAACAAGATGACAGTTGTCCCAGACTGGAATATTCCACGAGTAACCAGTTCCGTGCCATGTTCAAATGCCACGCCTACTCTGGCTCAGGGATAAGGAGTGTTAGTTGCAAAGTGTTTCCAAGGCTTGTTTTGTGGGGAAAGTTGGCAGTATAATCGGAAACTACTGTATCTTGGAGAGGTCTCCACTACTCAAACTACTATGGACATCTTGTAAACGGAATAAGAACGCAGACAACTGAAATTGCAAGGCTGCAGTTGATTACAGGAGCTCGCTGGTAGCTGCAGCCTAAGCAGGCCGACCTTCCCAGTGGTGAACCCCGCGAGCGACCTATCACCCGCAAAGCACGACCCTTCGATCGACCGGATCATCCGATCTTTGGGCCATTCATTGCGGTCACTGACCATTTTGTGATCAGTGATTAGTTTCCGATTTTTAACGCAGTACAAGCTGAGTACATCGGCGGCGGAGAGGGGACATTTTCACTTTTGTACTTGCCATAGGCGTTATATGAGGCGACGCATCGAGAAAGCATATTTTATAATATGTTGGTTAGACGAGCCTGATAGTTCTAGCATGATGGCTCAACGAGCCTGCCTCCAAGTTTCTCAAAGGGAGTTTTTTTCAGGTTTTTCACCTGAGTGGGGACTTGTAAACCGGACCTAGTGGAGCATAAATAAGTTGGCATAATACCCCCTCCGTCGCCGAAAAGTGCTCCTATGATTGAGTAACAGGATTATTCATGAGGACTGGCCGCGACTGGCCTCGGGCAACAAGGATTGGCTACAGATAAGAAGACAGAAAAACCCTTTCAGTAGCTGCTGCAGGTAAATATGTAATGCCGTAAGGGATAATCCGGTAATGTCTATAGTGGTCTAAATGTACCTCCACATCAGCTATGGCAACCCAGAGTGATTGTAAGACACTAGGAGTGGAGAGAAAGTCAGTACAAACTCACAGTATCCTTTGGATTTTGTGTCAGCGAAGATATAGAGATAGTCATCGCCAAGGAAACCGCCATCTTGGCTGCCAGAATGAATGTCCTCTTATACCCGAGTCCCTCGGCTATGACAGACAACAACAATAGCTGGAAAAAAAATCCATGAATACATGTAGGATTAATTTTTTTGGTGCGGATTATTTTTTTAAGGCAGTACTTGGAACAGCCAGATTGCCTTTTCTGCTTTGTGGTGGATGGACGAGAACGTAAATTGAGCCATAATCAACTTCGGGGGGTGGGGGAGGGGGGGTGCACACCGACCACGCACACTCTCGCATCGTTGTGTGAAACCCATAGGGGCGGTAACTGTTTCCTCCCACACCTGGGCAGGGGGTCGTATTGGGTAAAGACAAATTTAATTGAATACGCTCCACTTAATATTTCTTCTGTGGAAAAAGGGGGTCGTAGTCACATTCGTAGACGATTTTTCCACGACTCATAACCCCAGCGTCGTCAGCTTGCGAAAGAGTCGGTCGAGCTGAGGGGGGTCGTAAACACCCAACCCAGGCGAACAACCAAGCGGTGTGGCCGCCACAAATTGAGAAGGGTGCGGTCTACTCACAACCGACATTTCGCCTATCCCTATGCTGTACCGCTGTGCAGCACGTTTGTCAGCATTTGATATCATCCTGTATAGTTGTATACGGTGTGAATACCCCCCCCGGGCAATCTTGTAAGCTTGCAAGTCTTGTCAACATCTGTCAAGCAGCCTGTAAGCTCCTGTTAAACTTTTCAAATCGGTCAAAGCTCGTATCTGTACTATGTGTACTGATAAAAGTTTAATGACTTGACAAAAGCTGCTGTACATGAGTTATTCGATTCACAGGTCTGGCCATAGCCCCCCCCCCTCCAAGGTTATTACCGCCAGGTATTGCCCATTCGTCACTTACTTCTCGCTCGTGTGCTGACATTTCCCAGTGTCCGAATCACCGTACTCGGTGAGACATCTTGCATCTGGTAGAGAGAAGTGATTGTAACTTCGTCTGTCATGGCAATAGCGGTCTGAAAGTCCTACTAGTAACAGTCATACGCGGTGTATAAAATTGTTAATTCACCTGGATGTCGTCCTTCATTACATCGCATTTTTCTGTGTCGCCAAGATTTGAGTAGACAAATGCGAATCGAGTCCATGCAAACGACGCCAATACAAAACGAATTGCTATTCCAAGGCTGCATTAAACAATGAGTTTATTGAAGACACTTCCACCGGAGCCTACAGCTGCAGCACACCGTGATAGGAGGTTGGAACGATTGGAACATGATCGGCAGGGTTGTGGGCGGAAGGTGGCCGTGCCGAGGAGGGGGTCTCAAGGAGATCGACTGACACCTCCATTTTCCGCATCCCGATGTAACCTGGGGAAGGAAGCTCCACTGCAAACCCTGGGGAGGGAAGCTCCACTGCATTGAGACGAATATGCACTTTTTTGTTCAACCATTGATGTATAGACTATAAATGGGCGCATAATTCTCTCACTACCTGGGCCAAGGAAGGAAGTTGGAAAAAATTATATGCGAACTCTAAGAACCGCAGTACATAATTAGTCAATCTTGAGCACTTACCTTAGAGAATTGACGGACAGAACGCCAGTAGTAGGAAACCTGTCTCTACTGTCCAGAGCAGATGAAGTACTCAGACCCCACGTGAATATAGGGGTTTCGTAGAAAGCCGCAGCGAGTGCGGAAGCGATAGCCGCTGAAATTGTGGGATCAACTGGACTGAGGCCAAGTGTACACTAGGCACAGCATCGTTGTGTGAAACACATAAGGGGTCGTACTTTTCCGCTGGGGAGGGGGTCGTGTTTGGTCGAGAGGTGGGTCGTAGGTGGCTTTGAGAGAAATTCGCCGTGTTGGGAAAAAATTTTTCCTGGTTGTTGACTTAATTTTTCCGTTTCATGTGTACCGTACACCCCCGCCCCCGCTCGACGAAAATTCCTAGGTGAAAAAACTGGAGGATGTGGGAAATTTCGGACAAACTTGTAGGAAACCGGGAACCTGTAAGAAAGTGGTAGGTGGGTGTTGGGAGATGGGGGTCTTACTGAGACTTTCTCTTAGGTGGGATGGGGGACTCGTATGGAGACCCTGCTCGAGAGGGGGGGGGGAGTTGTACTGACATCATTTCACACATCACGATGCTGTACCCCGAGTGTGCAGCTTAGTAGACATACTAGTAGACTAGATGGAACATGCTGTGACAATTTTAGCAGAATGCTTTAGAAAAACAAACAAAAGATCTTTCAGTTTTCCACGTTCCTGGTTACTGTAAATGTGATTGTTTCAGATCATGGGTTTATGAGAGAAGTCTAGGGCACCCCACAGAGTACTATTCGTGGAGGATGTTCTTTGCCGTTGTAATGCTGAGTTTGCTTGGCCATATGAAGTAGATGACATTTCCTTGATTTCCTCAAAGCCCAACAGAAGGGAACCACTCATTAATAGGCAACAACTCAATAGCGTACTTATTTGACAGACTGTTATATTTCCACATTCTTGTATATGGTGGAACCAGTTGGAAATGGAAAAAAGTTTACCGCGTTGTAGGGGCATAACCAGGAAAGGATGGTTGGTCGAAGTGGCCATTCGAAATGAGATGTATACTGCCCGATGGGCCCTTGGACGCTGATTACAAATCTGCCCTCCATATCTGCTAAACGATTCCTGGACAAAGTTATGCAGGAATTTTGACCAGGTCACACCCATTTCCAGCATGTATATAAGGTACACCAAAACGCCCAAATTCGCTGAAATCTGAAATTAGAGGTGTACTCTGGTGCCCTGGAAATCAACACTGCAGTCATTTTTCGTGAAAATATCTTGTTCGCCTTCTGGAGGGGCAGGGTGTGCAGGAACCGGCAACGTCCTTGGCAAGCGTTTTTACGCCGAACGAGTGTGATATTCGTGCTCTGGGGCTCAAATTAGCCCTAGAGACAAGTTTTCAACCAAATTTGAGATTTCGACCTATTTTCGATACAGTAACCATGGGCATCAAATTCCTTAAGGTCGCTGGCACTATCGCCGATCAAAATCTCTGTGAGCAATGGAGCTTTTCCGCTAAATTTCAGTCCTTGCTGTTATTGACGGTCCTGATCACAACCACGACATCCATCTTTGGCTTCCATGCCATTTGGAATATCAGTTTGGCGACACAACAGAAAGGCAACGAATACCAAACCAACGAATCAAGAGTGTTTTTCACAGGTAACCAGAATGGCTCTATTCCTTCAGAAATAAAATTTTTCCGGTGGGATCAGGTCTCCTACCCCCGCAAAAGTGCTTTTAGGATGTGCAAGAAGCATTTCGAGAAAATGCAAAACGCAATTTGGTGAAGGATCTAAACCTTGGCCTTGTACACAGGAGGCCACCGTTCTTCGATTGAGCACTTGTGCGATGAGCGGCTCGCAACGCATCGTTAAGAATATTACTTGCTGAGCATCGGTGGTCTCGAGCAGTGGTCTGCTCAACAAGCCTCCATAATTCTGCTCAGAGAATCGTTTAGCAGATTTGGAGGACAGATTTGAAATCAGTGTCCAAAGACGCATCAGCCGGTATACATCTCATTTCAAATGGCCACTTCGACCAACCATCCTTTCCTGTAAGACAGACTGCAACATAAGAGATTTTCACTAAGGGGTTGTACTCTGTTGCTGGGGAGAGAGGGAGTCAAATTGTAGATGATCCGTTACGACAGAACCTCAGTAGGGCCTTACTGCAAGAATACAATCCCTACAGCACCTTTTTTGAGCCGGGAAGGTGACTCGCCAGTGCAACTGCGGAAGTACTCAGCTCGCACTTGAGAAAGCCCTTTTCAGAAGAGTGAGTGAGTTGTCCTTGAGCAATTATCTATTAAGTTGATGCATGTTTTCAACCCCGACTTTTTTGTTAATTTGATCCTTCCGTATTTCGTTTGCATGGATGTTGGTATTTCGTCATCACGTGTGCGTGACGTGTACATGATACTCTTTCATCACACTAGCTATCACTCACCCACCCTGCATTTGCAGGCCACAATGCCGCACAATTACCACTGTGAAATCATGTCACAGTGGTGATTGTGCGGCATTGTGGCCTTCTTCGGGTCCCACCCCCGTCCTTCTGGGAGGATGGAATCGACAAGCTGCCTGAGCGTTGGCGTCGAGTAGTGGATGGTGATGGTGATGATGATGGTGTATAACACTAATCTTCAGTCTGGTTCGCTATTGAGATATTCACAAAAAAACTAGGGGTTAAAAACATATACACCAAACTAATACATATTTTGAGCCATTCAATGAGTGAAGTTCCTGAGGGTAGACAGGAATGCGGGAAATAACAAAAAATAGCTCTATGTAGAATCAGTAAGAGGTGCAGAGTAAAAGTAAGAATTTCAGGAGCTGAAATCCGTCAGTCACCAATCAACGAACTTTGAGAGATCAGTTAATGCAACGTGGTTTTGCAAATTGGATTAATTGAAGATGATAAAATACGAGAGAGTGTTGACTTATTGTTCCCTTCTGTTATCGTAATAAAACTTACGATAACTGCATGTAGGGCCCATTATGGCATCCACATTCAGATCTCGAATCAATTCTATGGAAATACCCGTCGCTTCTGTTTCAACGCACTGGTCAAATCGGACAGTGAAGCTGAAAAGAAGAACGAGCTTCAGCGCACGAGTAACTATGAACTGGGTGTCCAGTCTCCATCGAAAGTGGCGCTGAAAACTATTTGACTCACTTGAAATCATATCCCGGTAATAAGTTTTCATTGAATATTCGATCCTTTGCGATGAGTACAGCCGCCGCCGAAGTTCTTGAAAAAAGTACCATTAAGGCAAAGAAAACAAATTAAAAGGATTCTCTTCAATGAG